CTGGTCAGGCCACATTTGGAGAATTGTGTGCAGTTTTGGGCCCCCACATCTCAGGAAGGATGTATAGGCCCTGGAGCGGGTTCAGAGGAGGTTCATGAGAATGGTCCCAGGAACGGAATGTTTAACATATGAGGAATGTCTGAGGACTCTGGGACTATACACATTGGAGTTTAGAAGGATGAGGGAGGATCTAATTGAAACTTACAGAATACTGAATGGTCTGGACAGTGTGGATGTTGGGAAGATGCTTCCATTGGTAGGAGAAACTAGGACCTGAGGGCATAGCCTTAGGGTAAAGGGAAGACCTTTTAGAATGGCGATAAGGAGAAGCTTCTTCAGCCAGAGAGTGGTGAATCTATGGAATTCACTGCCACAGAAGGCTGTGGAGGCCAGGTCATTGAGTACATTTAATTCTGAGGTAGATAAGTTGTTGATTATCAAAGGGATCAAGGGTTACGGGGAGAAAGCGGAAGAATGGGGTTGAGGAACTTATCAGCCATGATTGAATGGCGGAGCAGACTCGATGGGCTGAATGGCCTAATTCCTGCTCCTATGTCTTATGGTCTTAGGGAAAATCTTTCTTAACTCGTTCTTTTAAAAACAAAAATCACACCATTCTTTTAAATTGTAGGGATACAAACTTCATCTGTTAATTCTGTTCTCATGGCCAGTCCCCACACCCCAGGTATTACTTTAGGAAATAATTGCTCTTCTCAAAAATTACTATATACTTCCGTTAATTCATGGCTGTACCTACATGCTAACCTCCTATGATTCATGCACAAGGATACTCTTGTCTCTCGCCTTAACACTGACTGTATTTAAAGAGCTTGAGATGTCCTGTGAAAGGTATTATTTAAATACAAATCTTCTTAGTAAATTTATTTTTCTACTTTCCTGGAGCCCGAGTACTGACTCTAAGTTACCCATTGCCAACCTGAAAATGATCTGTGTATTCTTGTTTTCTGTTTTTGATCTATTGATCAATATATTGTAATCACCAATTCCATAAACCCTAGTTTTATATAATATTGTATGACACCATACCAAGTGCTTTTTTAAAAAATCTAAACAATAACTGATTTCCTTCAGTTTACCCAATAGTCTAAGTGTTTTAAAAATAAGTTTATTAGATTTATGATCCACCATTATCCTTTGAATGGCAGAGCAAGTTTGAGGAGCCGAATGGCCTACTCCTGTTCCTATTACTAATGGTCTTATTTGCCGAGCATGATTTTTTCTTTTATAAATGAGATTCATATTATAGTCTAATTATTGCCCTGGAACTCTGTGTCTAATAGTTGTCGGCAATACATTAGAATTTATCAAGATAAGAAGGCTTTTACCCCAATTTCTCATTCCCTCCTTCCTTGGTTGTCATGCCAGTTCTTGGGTCTAGAGAACACAGAAAAATCAAAACTGATGTGTCCACTATTTCTGTAGCCACCCTTTTTTTTACATCCTTAAGGTAATCCACCAGGTCCGTGGGATTGGTCAGCTATTCATTTAATTTAATGTCTCTGTTACTTTTGCTTTAATTTCTGTAAGTGCTTATTGGACACTTGGTTCCAAGAAGACGGTTGCTTTGTAACCTTCCATTGTTTCTGCAGTTTCCTTATCTCGCCATGTATTTTTCTTGAATTCGGCTGTAAACGATCTATGATTGTTCTTGTTAATCTTTTTCCATACCTGTAGAAGGATTTGCAGTCTGTTTTACATCTTTTGCTAATTTTGCCCTCATTCTGTAACCTATTAGTTTCTTTGTCATCCTTCCTATCCTCAAGTTTCCTACTGTTTTTGACACAGTGGTATTCCTCTTAGTTTTTGAATAAACAATCTTGAACTTGGGTAAGAGTTGGACCACTTTTCTGCGAGATTCCTTATTCCTTGAAGGATTTGTTGTTAAATATTTGACAAGACTTATCTACTGTGACATTTTAATACAGTTTTAATTCTACTTCAGCTTTCTGCTCTCTTCACCTCAACAATGTTGTGTAATTTTTGTCTGTTGAAACATTTTAGGGGGCTTGGCTATTGTTTCACAATATGGGCAATGGTTGAATACGGCAACAAAAGTTCTAAATATTTAATTAACCACCTCATTTCCACACATGTAGAACAAATGCACTAAATTTGGGGCAATCAAAATTGGTGGGAGTGGCTGGAATGTTCAGGAGGTATAAAATAGCGTAGGAAAAAGGGCTAAGATTGCTATGATATAAGAGCGATGAAAGAATTTGAATAGGGATTTAAAGTAGTACTTTTGGCGGAGATACTGAATTCACCACAGCAGTTTTGTGGCGAGGACGATAAGGGGAAGCTCAATTATAAGGTTAAATTGATTGGAGGGATTTTGAGCAGGGAATAAAGTAAGATGGGGCAATGCATGGAAAATATGGAAGTGAGTGATTGATTGGATGGCATGGCATAGGAAAAAGGGTGAGATTGGGACAATGAGAGTGAAGAAAAATGCAATTCATGAGATGGATATGGCATGAGAAGAATGCAGTAAGAATGAAATGTACTATTATGAAATTATTGCGTATACTTTGCAGCTCAGAAGCTGGGGTGTAACCCTACTTGGCGGATTGGAGTAGCGTGGATAGCATTTGCAGGATAATGGTGACTTTTAATGGGGGGGCAGTAACCGCGTGGAAGGATAAAATAGGAAGGGTTGGGAATTCAGCAGTATTGCTGCAGTAAAGGGGTGATGGTTGCATATTAGTAATGTCACTAGTATTCAGGGACTTAAATTCCACCAGTTATCATGGGATCTGAACTTGCACCCCTTAGAATCTATGTCAATTTGTTTTAAATCTCTGGTATTGGAAACTACTCAGTGATCAATTGTTGCAAGAACTCATCTGGTTCATGAATACTCAAGGAAGGAAATTTATCATTCTTAGTTGGTCTCACCTACATGTGATTCCACACCCAGAATGATGTATTCAACTCCTAACTGCTTGCCAGGGCAATTATGAAATGCCACCAAATAATGCTCTTGCCAATGCAACCTTCATGCCATGAAAAAGTAAATTTAAAAATGAAGGGAGTAAATGTTTGCAGGTCTTTGCTGGTATCCACTGTTTGGTTTCTGCAGATTTAAAACAGTAATTTCTGACTTGGCTAGATCTGTGTCCTTTGTGATTGCTGTTCCCTGGATGTCCTTTTACTGGAAGCTTATTAATAAACCCAGTCTCATTGAACAATATATCTTGCATAGAAGGCTATTTAGTAATTATGAATTTGATCTGAAAATTTGCCACAAATCTACTGCTCTAAGATTTCCTTATTCAATCTCCATGACTATGCCTCCGATAATAGGTCCAAGAGTATCCTGAAAGTTGTTTTATATACTGAAAGATTTGAATTAATGAAAAAAAAGCCAAGTGGGTAATTCATGTTGCAAAATTCTAGCCCTTTGACTAAAAAATTTAGTTCTGTATGTTGAATGGGATAAGAAACAACTGGGAGAAAACATAGATGTTAGTTTTATATATGTATGTATTGTCTGCTCTGCCCAAAGGCAAGACCTTAAAAGGATAGTCTTTTCCATATCTCTGGCCCTTTCGACCTTAACTTTCTAATTTCTTTCCGATTTCAAGCCATTCAGCATCAACGTTTTCTTCCTTTTTCTTTATCCTTGTGATCTTCCTTCCATAATATTTTTAACTCATCCATTTCCAAAGAGATGTTATCTTGTCTCTACACCTTTTTCTATTTACATTCAGTAAATTTTGTTCATTCACAGTCTAGATCACTTCATTTGTTATGTTTTCTGTACAACTGATCCACCACATTCTCATCTGAACCCATATTGCAAAGCTATAAGCAGGATTAGTTGGTCTCCTCTCTGTAAAATCCAATTCCTACAACCACACAAATTAAAACTTCAAATAAATCTGTTTATAGAGTGATTCTTAAATTGTTTTCAGTTAGCAACTATCTCCTCTTGCCAAAATACCACAGTTTCCATGATTACCCAATTCTTATTTCTGTTGCACCTTCCATCTGCAGGTAATGCACTTCTTGTGCCTATTCATAGAGTCATATTCTGTTGAATACATCATAGAAGGAAAACAAGTTTTGGTGGTTTTGAGCTTTGCATCATTTTACAGTTCCCACTGCTTTTTTGTTTCTAGTACAGATTTCTTAAGAATGTTCTCTGTCCAATTAATCTCTGGGTACACTCGTGTTTGTGGTGTTTTCTATTTATTTTCTTTTGTCTCTTGCATATGTATATATGACTTTCTACCCTTACACTTGGAAAAGTATGAAAAAAATTAAAAGTTCCTTTTCCCTTTTTATAATTGAGCATTTTGAAACTAGACTTAGTTTTAATAACTTTCTTTTTCCCTGCCCCCCCAAAAAAATAAAAAGACCCAAAAGGCCTAGGGTAAGTTTTTCTTTTTGTTTAGCAAAGAGTTTATAAATTTGAAATTCTTTGTTATGGACATTATGGAAGTTAAGAGAAATGACTGAACACATTCTTTCAAGAAAGTGATCGTGTGTTCTATATATGCATTCTACCTGGTCCACAGTTGCAGAACTTTGTTGGCAGTGGCCTGTGAGCAGGGTATTTGGCCCACCGTTGTAGATAATAGTGAAAGAAAGAACAAATCTTTTTATATATGTACTCCACATTCTCTGTGAGGCTTGCAACAATATTCAAGTTGCAGATTATTCTGTCTGGGTATTGCAGCGAGAATTTATGGAGTGAACATGCTTTGTAAGCTTGAATTATGCAAAAATGCAATACCTTATTTGAATTTTTTTTTTAAAAAGCTGTTTTAGCTGTCAGTAAGTAAGAAGAGTGGCATAGGAGTCTTAAGTTGCTCTTGTTCAAAATGACCTAATTTTGAATCAATCCTTTATGTAAATTGTGACTTCTGAAAATACAGTTGACTTTTTGAATAGATCATACTTAGTTGACCTTAAGGTCTCTGGTATTCATCACGTTAAAAAAGCTACACTGTGCGGGTATCCGTTTTGTATTTCAGGGGAGAATATACAATACAAGCTAAAGCCGTCATTAATAAAAGTGCAGTGGATGGCCCGGTGATCAGATTAAATGTAGTACCAGACCCCAACAAACCTGTCAGCTTGCATGTAGACTATGACAAAAATGCACGTTTTGTTGCTGGTGGATTTTTAACAGGTATGCATGATTTTTGTTTGCAATAGATATTGATAGACATGCTTGGTGATTAGACCATAGGATAATTGCTATTATTGGTTAGAATTCTTTTGGAAAGTCTTTTAATGTTATATTTAGAATTAAATTTACTTCTTAATCTTTACAGTACACTGACTTGTATATGTGTAATACCCAAGTATTTATCAAAATAATCTTCTAATTGCTGCTCCATCAGTCAACATTTCCTTAGGCAGAATATTTATCTGTATATAAAGCATAGTTTAGGTGTAGAACAGCAATTTAGTTTTTAACACTGTTTTTAATATTTAGGGTGCAGTCGCAGTCTACTTGTACGTAACAAACCTTGCATCTGTTTGTAACTCTGCTTATAACGTGAATGTATTGAATATTTTCTCTGAAATTAATTTTTGCATTTACAATACAGTTTAATTCATTTATCAAGTTTCCAGCTAAGTTTTTAGTTTTACATATTTTATCATACTGTACTGACTTGAGAGCTGTCCTGATTTGAGTATCTTACTCTGCCAGCATATTCTATTTGCTTAAAGTATAGAGGATAGTAATGCTAAAATAGCTTTTTTAAACTGAGCATAAACATACCTTAATGCTGACAGTTTAGGGCACACCAAGTTTTTCAAGCATTCACAATAAAAACAATACAGTCTCTCCTCTTAAACCTTATCACCTGGAACAATCTTCTGTTTCATCCACTATCCGACATTATTGTGATGGTTTGTCTATTCCAATATGTAAGTTACCACCCACCTGATACCATGTGATCTTTTGAGAGTGTAGTAGTGGAAGGTGACCTTATTTTAAAGGTTAAGATATCGAAGCAATTTCAGCAAAGGCTAGTCAATTGTGGAATTGTTTATACACATGCAACAGTCAATCTTGCGTAAAAGTAAAGCAGATCTTTCCTAACTTTTGAGCAAAAATAATATTTTATTTTTCAAGTATCACATGTATGACTCCTGACCTTTGGCCCAGTAATACTTGACTTTTCCTATGCTTCATGCTAGTTTTATGAGTGGGGTTGGCGGGAACAGTTCAGTGAGTCATTTTCACAATTGCTTTTTTCTCGTTTAAATTGCCAGACATAAATAGCGTGGGACTGCAGTTCCCATCTGAATTCAGAACCATGGCCAGCAACCGCTGAGACAATGTCATCGGCAGTTTTCAAGAACTGGCATGGATTTCAACCACTAAAATATTACTCGTGTGTAAGTTATCCCCTTACTTTTTGCCTAAAAGTTTGGTCTCAAGACTTACATTTTACACGAGTATGTACAATACTTAAAACTCAACTTCACATATAAATGACTTTAACTCATCCCTGTTGTAGTGCTGCTGTAATTGTCCCACAAATTACATTTTTTCCCTTGATTCGGGATTATATTCACTAAGACACTTGATTTGAGTGGCAAGGTTTTTTTTTGTTTTTCTGCAACTGTAGGAACATAGACTGTATGCGGTAGACATCAATTTGTGCCAACACATGGAGTAGAGTCCAAAGGAAGCAGAAATGCATTTTCCAATGAAGTAAATTACTTGTCTTATTACATATGAGTAATGCCACTAGGTTTCTTCACTGGAGTAAAATTTTTAGGTTAAATTCAGTTCGTTTACCAGAACATATCTTGCAGTACAAAAGCCCAATAATGCAAATGCTGAAAATCTGAAATAAGAACAAAAACTGCTGAATGCGTTCAGTTGGGTCACCATCTGTGAAGATTGAAACACAGTTAATGTCCCAAGTCAACAGTGGAGATCGATATGAAGTTGGAAGATTAGACAGAAGCACTAGAAAAGATTTGAGGTCCTGGAAACATTTACCTGATGTTCAGTCTTGACTGGGTATGTCCCAGAGGGTGGAAGGAGGAAGTATTGGAACATTATTGTTTACCCCCTGCTAGGTAGTAAGTCTGCCAGATGATAACAGTACTGCCCTTGTCAGCAGGTTTGATGTCAACATATAAATTGGAGAGCCACAGCTCAGGAAGACAGACTAAAGAGAGAACAGAGAAATTAAAGTGACCAATATGCTGGTAGTTCTCGACAAAAAGATCAAGAAAAGGTCCAAGTATAAAGGGACCTACCAATGGGGAGGGTGAATTCTGAAGATGGCTATAAGTGTCGTCAAGGGAAGAACTCCTGGCCAAAGGGATTGAGAGGGAAAGCAAAAGTGACGGAAGAAATTCTCAGCACTGTACTGGGATTGAAATTGAAGTGAAGAGCATAAAGGAATGAAGCTTATGGCCTTTTCTGAGGACAGATTGTTCAAGTTTGGAGATGGGAACTTGAAGGCTAATGTGAATATATAGTAAGGGATGTGAACCAAAGAGTTTGTTTTCATTGCCTACAGTTCTTCTGCCATTGTAATTTTGTAGAAAATTATCTTCTCTCAAGAACTTTTCTCATGTTAAAGTAAGTTGATTCCAAAGTATTCAATTAATCTTGTATAATCATTGAATTATATAACAGCAATGACTGAAAAACTAATTGTCTGCACATTCTTTTGAGGTATTTTGAGTACTTGAGGTGCCAAGTAGCTAGAAGGTCTTATATTCTTTAAGCATTTTTTTGCATCTTATCAAATTCAGTTATTGCATTCTATTACTGGCTAAATGCAAAATAATAGAACAAGTTAACCATGTTATCCATGTTCAAGCTTTTAAATATCCTATCCCAGAAATTTATCAAATGTGATACAGTGGTTATAATGTGGCTTTGACTGCCTAAGCCAAGGTGTTCCAGCAGAACATGCAGATCTAGCTTTTATATTGAATGGAACTGTGAATGTAGTCACATTAAAAAAAGAGACATTGGAATAAAATGCAGCAAACATAATACACAGCTAAACTCTATAAACTAAGCAATACAAATTATTGATACAGTATATCTTATTGTCGTACTTGATATTAATCTACTGTGAAATGGTAGTTTGCAAGAATTTAATCCCATATGTGAAGAAAATTATCTAATTAGTGTTCACTTTTTTTTATCACTCTTATAGAATTTGCAGTTAGTGTTATTTCTGAAGATGGCAGTGCAATGAAGAATATCAAACCAGCAGACCTCACCATGCGAATCTGGAGGGGTCAGCGTCCATCGTCCAATGTAAGTGAAGTGAATACTTGATGTCAGGTAGAAATAGTTACTGCTGCATTATCATTGGAATTCTTCTAGTATCTACTGTAGTCCTTCCAAGAAAATACAGGGCTTTTAAAAGCTACCTGAATTAGTAGCTCAAAATTCCTGTAACTGCCATAATGCATGCTGATCTCCCAATTGGTTAGCCGTACAAACATTTCTTGCGAATCCTATTTAGCCAGAGCATTAGAAACTACGATAAAGCAACTGATAACTTATTCACTGTCAAATCACTGCTTACATGTAAAAGTTAAAGTTTGAAACTGAAAACTTTGTGTGTGTGTGTTAGTTAAGCATTGCTTGTTTAAGAAGATAAAATAATTCAAGATTTTCCGATTGGATTTAAGGAAGAATTCTAAAAGGCATGCCAGGTAGCACCACTCACTATAATGAAAAATGATGTACCAACCTACTGAAGCTGCAGCTGAAGAATAGTTGCATGCCAGCATCATGTGATAACAGAGTTAAGCAATCCCACAACGAATGGGTCAACTCTTATCCCTTCCAGTCAGGAATGATGCTTTACAATTAAACAACCAACAGGAGGAAGCTGCACAAAAATCCCCATCCCCAATGGTGCGGCAGCCCAGCACATAAGATGAGACTGAAAATTTGCAAATATTTTTAGCCAGAAGTGTTGAATGGATGGTCCATCTTTTGCGGCCGTCTCAGTTCCCCAGTGTCATACCACCCTTTAGTGGGCAATTGATTTGTTCCATGTGATATCAAGAAACAGCTGAAAGCACTGGATATACCCGATACGCTATAAATCCTGACAACAGTGCGGCACTAATACTAAAAACTGTGCTGAAAAGTCGGGTGTCCCCTAGCCGAACTATTCTAGTACAGTTACCACATTGGCACATACCTGCAAATGTGAAAAAATATCCCGGGCATGTCCTGTCAAAAAACAACAGGATGAGCCTAACTTGACCACCGCAACACAAAGGCTGCTTGAACGGCATGGTACTTTCAATTTTCACACACTCCCACCTATGCATAGTGTTGTCAGTGTGTACTGTTCAGAAGATGCACTACAACCGCTAAGCGAGGCTCCTTGGATAAGATCTTCCAAACCCGCGACCTGTACCAGCTAGAAGGATAGGGACAGCATGTTACACTCAAATGTTACATGTAAGCTCATTTCCAACCTACATGCCATCCTGACTTGAAATTATATTATCATTCCTTCATTGTCACTGGGTAAAAACCCTGGAACTGCCTTCCCTATCACTACTGTGGGTTTCTCTACACCTCATGAACTGCAACAGATCAAGGTGCACCACCTCAAGGTCAGTTAGGGATGGGTAATAAATGCTAGCAAGCCCTGAATGAATAAAAGACTAAGAGACTAAGCATTCCAAACCATAAAGATGAATTCAAGAGTATGAAAAGTATTTCACGTTTCCAAGAAGTTTTTGAGACTGTAGAAATGTATTCTTAAGCAGAGATGTGCATTTCATTCAGAACAGAAAAAGTGAACAGTATGCTTACTTGCTTCAATGAGAAGTTTAATTTATTTTTGTATACAGTGCAAATTCAATTATGTTAATAAATCTGGTCTTTATTCTAAAAGTGTTCACCATCTCTGCATTTTATTTCTGCAGCCCACAATTTTAAATTGCAATAAAGCACGAGATGGTGACAGAGAAGGGTTTTTTTATTTCAGGTATTGACAATATCATTCTTTTGTGGTTTACTTATATGTTTAAAGAGTGTAACAACAACTTGCGTTTACGCGCTGTTTATGTACAAAAACAATCCTGAAATGTTTTGGATGTGTATTTGGTGTGTATGCCTGAGTTTTTAAAAGTTTTACTCTTTTTCAGCGTCTAGAATCTAAATTGTGTAAAGCTGATGATTCCATATCTTACCTATATGAATGTTGAATTTTGTGTTGAATTTTCTGATATACGAGTTAGGAGTAAGAGGTAGACTACTTATCCCATCAAGCCTGATCTGTCAGACAATAAGATCATGGCTAATTTGATTACTCCACATCTTGCCCTCAACCCCAGACCCCACTATTACCACCCATATTCACGTTCACCCCTTTGCTCATCAAGAATCTATCTACCTTTGCCTTAAAGATATTCAAAGACTCTGCTTCCAGTATCGTTTGAGTAGCAGAGTTTCAAAGACACTTAAATACAGGATCTTGTATGTTTTAACCATTTTGACTCTCAACTCTTCTAAATTTCAGCGCATGAACATCTTGTCTGTCCAACCTTTCCTCATATGACAGCCCACCCACATCAGTGCTCCTTTTGTGGTCTCTCCACTGCCTTGTATAATTGAGACATGAACTCCTATTTTTTGTATTCTGCTCATCTCCCAATAAACAATAACATTCTATTAGCTTAATTGCAGTTCCTCCATTCTAGCCTTTTTGTGATTCATGCATGAAGACAACCAGATTCTCTGTATCTGAGCTCTGTAATCTCTCACCATTTAGGTAATAAGCTTCTTTATTGTTCTGCCAAAATGGAACGACAAATTTCATATTTTCCCATATTATGCTGAATTTGCCCATCTTTTCCCACTTAGCCTAGTTATATCCCTCTGCACTCATTATTTCGTCTTCACAATTTATTTTTGCCAAATATCTCTGTCATCAGCAAATTTGGCCATCATAACTTTGCTCCCTTTATCCACATTATTTAGACCAATTGTAAATAGGTTTTTTAATTCATTCATGGGATGTAGATCTGGCCGACTGTGCCAATGTTTATTGCCTAGAGGGCAGTTAAGAGTCAACCACATTGCTGTGGGTCTGGAGTGGAATGCAGGCCAGACTGGTGAAGAATGGCAGGTTTCCTTCCTTAAGGACATTATTGAACAAGATATATATTTTTTAAATGATAATCTTTTCATTCCAAATTTTAGTTAAATTCAAATTTCACCATTTAAGCGGTGGGATTTGAATCCATGTCCTCAGAATGTTAGCTTGGATGTCTGGATTACTAGTCCAGTGGCATTACCGTGACACCACTGCCTTGAGGTTGAGGCCTCAGCACTGATCCCTATGCACACTTTTCATTGCATCTTGCCAATTGGTTTGCCATCTGTTTCCTAGTAGCTAGCCAATGTGATATCAGTGCCAATATGTTACGCACTACACCATGAGCTTCTTAGATTAGCATTTTTAGGGGTCCTGTAGTGCAGTGGTGGTGTCCCTACCTCTTAAGCAGAAGTACTGGGCTTAAGTTCCACCTACTCCAGAAGTATGTCATAACATATTTGAACAGATTGATAAAAATATCTACACCATGAGCTATTATTTTACGCAACTTTTAAGACACTTTATTACATGCTTTTGGAAATCTAAGTACAGTATGTCTACTGGCTCTCTTTTATCCACCATATGTTACTTCCTCAAAGAGCTCCAATAAATGAAGTACTGTTTTCTATTTTACAGGTCGTTGATTCTGCATGGTTATCTTGAACTTTTCCAAGTGCCTTGCTATACTATAGGGAATTTTGTACAATTTGAATTAACACACCAAGTTACTCAATAGCTACTTCTTTTAAGACCTGAAGATGAAATCAGTGAGGACCTGGGGACCTGTCAGCCCCCAGTGCAAAGTACCACTTCCTTGTGTGATGATGGTTTATGATATAGTATTATTATTTGGAAACTTGGGTCAAAGGTAGAGAGAACCATGTACAATGTTTTTTTTTTCAATTTGATTTATATATTGTGATTGTAAATAAGGATGTAGTTTTAGTTACATTTTAGTTTGGCTCTGTGAATGGTGTGGGTTTGTCTGGAAATCTGTTAAATGTATTTAATTAAAGCTTTTTAAAAACAAAAACCCTTGGGGTGAGTGGTTGAATGCTTTCTAAAAAAAAGGTTAGAGGAAACAAAGGTCATTTACAGAAATTTACAGAATTTCATAGTACCCCATTGTAATGTCATTAAATTGTTTAATTTCTTATTTTGTAATATATACTTACATTTCAGGGATAAAATGCTTCCAGAGCGGACAGGAGAACATACTATTCAGTTTGTTTATTCACAGGACAAGACCGTGATCTGTGGTGAACAGGTATGATATTGTTCCAACCAGGTTAGTGGACTGACCCCTCTCTTTATCCCACTCTTCCACTGACCACAACAAATTTTGAATTTAAAAGGTAGGTAATATTGCCAATTATATATTAAATTGTATATAGCTCAGTATCAGAAATAAATGAGCCAGATTCGTTAACAAATAGCCAGTTCATCGCAAAAAAAAAAGAACTTGCCTAAGTGAAGGCTATTAATAAAAGGTTTAAAACCTGCAAATGTGCCAGCTTTCCTCCTTGAAAAATAATACACGCTATCATTTTGAAGACGGGCAAAAAGATAAAACTCTGTAGTGTTATTTTAAAAGTGCTTTGACTCATAATTCAGAGCAATAATGGCATCCATAGATTTTTCCAAATGCTGGGCTGCAGCCAAAGTCACTTTTACACAAGTTGTCACTAGGGTTTCTTCCGGGATCATTAATGGTTGTTGAATTCTTTTTCTGGAGACAGCATTAAGAATTTAGACTTCTTTAAGACCCCTTCGTTAGTGAAGATGTGGTGTTCCAGCATTGTTTTTTTTCAATACTTAAAAATTTGAGAAATGTTTTGAAGAAAGTTGAGGGAAGTTCTTTCAGATTGTGGTCGAGAGTACTTTGTTTACAACTACAAATGTGGTTGTGTGACTTCTGGCCGTGTTGGACCTTTCGACATTGTAAAAGTAACGGGTGTTCTTTATAAATGCAGCACTTTTGCTATCGTTGCCAATGTCTGGTTTTAGAAATACATAATATTTAGAATCTGAAGGCAGGTCGAACTCAACTGAATATTCATCAGAATTGAATACTAAATTATTCAGCATTTTAAAAAGCGAGGAAAATGAGAGAAATAATTGTCAAAGGGAGATGCAGTCAGATGAGTTTTCAACTCTTAATAGAAACATGGTTAAATATAAAAACTCCATTGTGATAATGGAAGGGTAAAAAGGATAAAAAGTTGAAATTAAATAGCAAGACTTTGGAATGTCTATACGAACAAAGGTAGAAAATTGGAGAAAGAAACTAACCCAAATTTAGAAAATCAGAAGTTCATCTGTGACACTTGATACATGTGTTATGCGTTTAGTATCATTCATTTCCATTCAGTGACATATGATCTTTCCTAGATTTGTGTACATTTGCTACATGACGCTCCAGATACTGGACCTATACCTGTGATAATTTACATGTATATGCTGTAAGGCAGAGGTTCTCAACCTTTTTCAGTTTCAAGGCACACTTCAGTGAGACAGACAATTCCTTTCTTTTAATGTCTGCTTTTGTGATGTATCAGAAGACAGTGAACTAAACTGATCACATACAGTAATAGTTTTCTACATTGGTAGAGGGGATGTAGAATCTGACGTTTTTCATTACTTTGAGATAGTTGAATATGAGGATGTGAATCTTGATCACTGCATCTGCTGATGATAATGCTAGTGGAAACATTTCAAGTGAACCCCCTGTCACTGTCTTGCCAAAGGCCCACTTTGACCTAAACCTTTGAAGTTTATCTGCAATGGTTATAATCACCTTGGTCTTCCTCTGCATTTTAGTCTGCAGCTCAATCAGATGGCTGAAAATGTCCGCGAGCTATGGCAATTTAGCCCACCAGTAATCACCAGATAGTAACTCTTTATAAGACAGTTCATGTATTGTTGAAAATCCTGTCACTTCTCTCCGGACCTTATCCACATGGATGAGAACCTTCCCCCACTATAACAATTGCACCTTGGTGTGTAGCAGTAAACTCTGATGCTCTGCCCTTATCACTGCATGCAAAATAGTGAACAAACCTAATTCCAATGACCTTGGTTGTATGAATTTTCACAGCATGCTGTAATACTGCAGCTAACTCCAGTGGTGTTGCTTTGGCTATGAGAGCTTTCTGGTGGACGATGGAATGGGTGATCTGATCATAAGGATTTTGCTGTTTCACCTGTTCATGAAAATTTGAAGGCAAGATAGTTCTTTATATTGTCTCTGAAGTGTTCTTGCTTTCTTTGAGTTCAGATGTTTTGTCAACTGAATTAGCAGAGGAATCGTCTCTTGACAAGAAGCTTATCCATTTATTTTTAGAATCTGAGACTTAGATCGGTAGGATAACTTGAAAAGAGTTCCAAAAATATTCTCTGTATCTGTGCTGGCATGAGAAGTATCCAGGTAGGCAGGTCAGTTCAGAACTGTTTTCAGTTGTGCGCCTGTTTACTGTGTGTGCAAGGTTTCTCCTCACACGAAATACAACGTGCAATCATTGTGTTTTGTGATACTGAATATTTGGTGCACACGCACAAGTAATTTGCATAACAGTGGATTTCCTTTCTACTGTACGTGCGTGATGATGAATGTCAGCAGAAACTGCCTTTAATAATAGACACAGATGCTCTGAAAGAGATTGGAAGTAACAGCCTTGACACTTGGGTAAAGTGACACTGCTTCCTGAAAATTTCACAGCACCCTTCTCATCTTGCTGCGCTGACAAACTGATTGAAAACCTGTGCTGTAGGATAGAGCAGGTTAGTGAAATGAATACTTGGTTCAGACATTGCTCTGAATAGTAGTAGTTCTGGTTTGTGGGGCACTGTCATTTGCAATGGGGAGAGTGGGAGGGGGGCCTACTATTGAGAAGCACTTTACTTGAATGGTGCTGAAGCCAGTATTTATCAAGTCGTATCACTAAGGGGCTTTCAACTAAATTGGAGCAGGAATCATGGGAAGTATTGTGTACATTATAGGGAAATGGGAAAGCAATAGATCAAGTGTAGCCATCAAGGTAAGTGATCAGAATCTGGCACAAAGAGCCAGTGATTATAAATTTGTAGGCCTGCAAATGGAGCCACTGGTTTAAAAGAAACAAATTAAGCATTTTTTTTTTTTGAATGCCCACAGCATTTGCAAAAAGTCACCTGTGAAAGGAATTCCATATGTACGACTTGATAGCTGTTAAAAAGACGTGGCTACATGGAAACCAAAGCTTGACACCTGAATATCCAATGATACTTCAATTTAGAAAGGAGAGGAAGTAAGAAAGAGGCAGTGGGATAGCTTTTTAATTGAAGAGGATATTATACTGTACTGAGAAATGGAAATAGAACAAGAATAATCTAGCAAGAAACAAAAAATGCCTAAATGTTTCTATTTCTAAGTAAAATGGAAAAGATAAGCAAAATCAAATGTGGGTCCATCTTGTTTCAGGAGAATTTATAATAGAAAATAAGAAAATGGCGGATTAACTAATCAAAACCTGTGTCTGTCTTCACAATATGAAAACTAAAATACTCCCAGAAACAATAGGGAATCAAAAGACTAGTATAAACTAAGATTCGCAAGATATTGGTATCAGAAGACAAAAATAGAGAAAGTAATCCAACTTAAAGTAGAAAAGTGCGCTGGACCTGATGACCTACATCTAAGCGTTGAAAGATTTTGCTGTAGGGATCGTAGATGCTTTGATAGTCAAGCAGAATATTTGAGGGTAGATGTTGAATGTTATGTTTAGCTCTTCTAAGGTCCCTTAGTGAACAAAATTGATGCACATGGGATGGGGAGGAATGGATTGAGAACAGGTTAATAGACATAAACAGTGAAAGTAGATGGGTGACTGTCAGACTAGCAGGCTGTCTCTAATGGAGTGCCAGAAGGATCAATGCTTGGGCCCCAACTATTCATAATCTATCAGATTTGGATATGGAGGTGAAATATTTAATCAGTTATTCCATATGTTGAAGAATGAGATTGATAACCACGATCTCATTGAAGAGCAGAGCAGGTTTAAGAGGCTGAATGGTCCACTGTATTTCCCGTTTCTTAAGTTCTAACAAATGAAATTGAAAGGCCTTGAAGTCTTCATTTGTTGCTGGTCTGTAGTAGCATTAAATAAACAAAATAACAGAATGCTGACTTCTGGTATGTCATGAAAGCCCTGCAATATGTTAGAAAGTCTAATAGTGATCTGAACCTATCAAGTATACCTTAACACTTTTTTTTATCACTTAC